TTTGAAAAGCATTTTATTAAATTCTTGGGATTAATAAAACAACATAAAATTCGTATTTTATGAAGGTAGTGAAGAAATTTATTGGAGTTTGTTTATACACTGATCTTAATTACACTACACACGGTATTATTAGGAGAACTGTAATATCTGTTAAATGTGATTATGTTGCTTAAATTGATGATTTTATGTAAATACATGCCTGAACACAGATTTAACGTGTAACTGAAGCGTTAATCTTCATTAGGTCAGATTATATTGTGTGAGGACATGGCTTCAGCAGTGTGTTAGGTACCCCATCCTGATGATGTAATTAAATAGGCGGAGTCGCATCCTGAAAGTCCTGTTGTATTGAACTGAATTCCGGAAATACGGGGCCTGAAAGCAGACCAATRAACTGCCTCCAGACCGAGCTGCTCTCTGTGAGAGTTGCATGAACTCTTTCACATTCAATTTCCATGTATTGGTACATTCTCGGTGTGGTTTTAGCACATAGAATTGTAAACAAACACGCTTAACAATATTTTCTTTCAGTAGAACACGGAAAACCAGATTTTTAACCTGAACTTTACCTGAGATCAGAACTGAAACTAGACGCTGATAAAAATTTATGAAAACATTTTTTGTCCCTCATTTGTAGCGCCCCCTAAATAGACGGCACCCTTTGCATTTGCCTATACTGCCTATGCCGTGGACCTGGTTCAAACCAGGTGTGTTGAAGCAGAGAAACAATGAAACATGCAGGACGGCGGCCTTTCAGGACCAGGACCTGACACCCCTGATCTAATACAACCAGGCGGACTCACTCAGGACTCACTGTCCTGCAGGTTTTAGACGTTTCTCTGTTTCTGATTCATATCTGCTCAGGTCTGCAGATGACTTGTTTAAACCATTTAAATGTTTGTCTTTAAACATGTATTCTTGTTTGGTTCCTCGTTTTCAGGTCCTGGGGTTTCTGCACTGGGTCCTGGTAGCCAGCACACCTTACACCCTGGTGCCGGAGTACGGTTGGGTGATGTTTGTGGCCGTCACGCTGTGGATCATCACCACCATCCTCTTCATCGTCATCCTCTTCAGCGTCCAGCGACACCTGGCCTTCGTTCCCTGGCCGCTGACGGTACTGACAGAAATATACTTAATAATTCAGGGGGGGAAATCTCTTCATTTTGATGTGTTGTATATTTGCTGGAAATGACTCACCATGGTAACTAATCGCCCATCTGTCACTCCCTGACTGCCACTGAGAGGCAGAACAAACTGAAAAGTAAGCCTCAAAAGAAAAGCCGCTGAGCAAAAACTACAAGTCAGATCTTAAAAGTTCCTGAGCTGTGAGCGACAGAAGACTCTGGGAGTCACACGGGTGGATTTTTATCTTTCGGCAGCGTTTTATGTCAGTCATAYGATAAGTTAAAAACACCCTTCGCTTCCAGTTTTGAAGAGACAATTTTAAAAATTAAAATCTGTAGATGTGCTGTTTGGGTTTAGAGGGGATTCAAGAGAAAACCATAAATCTCACAGCAGTGAAAGATGCACTGGATGAAAGAAGACAAAAAGATTTACAAAAACATGTAGGTAGTAAGAAAAGTTGGTTTCATGGCAGCTCAACATCCTGTCAAACATTTTATGGGGAAAAAAAACTAAAAAAAATCATAAAACTTGAGCAGCGATTGACTAAAAATCATAAAGATAAGAAAATGCCACTTCAGTCGTGTCTAACTTTCTGAGACTCGTTTAAACTTCGAATGATGTTTCTGGTGAAAAATGTCTGACCTGCAGAACTCCAGTTCCATCATCCGTTTCAACAAATCCTCATTGATGTCCATTGCACAGTGCCGGATCTAGGATTTTTCTGAATAAGGGGCCATCAAGGGGCCACAATATTCTTATAGGGGCCAAGTATTTCTTTAATGGTGCGTTCACACCGAACGCGATTTCAGTGTCAGGAGCAGCAGGTTTACATACAAAATCTATGGTGGACACGCTTCAAGCAGCATCGGGA